GGAGGATGAGGAGAGTGGATTGCCTAAGCCCGCGGGTTCGAGACCCGCCTGGGCAGCAAGACCTCATCTTTACAATAAATCAAAAAGTCAGCTGGGCATGGTAGTGCATGTCTGTAATTCCGGCTACTTGGAAGGATGAGGCGGAGGGATCGCCGGAGCCCGGCAGGTCGAGGCTGTGGTGGCCGGGAGCAGCCACTGCACTCCAGTCTGGGCGACAGAGTGACTCCAATTCAAAAAAAAAAAAAAAAAAGATAAAAATGCCCGGCTTTCTTCTGCACGATGGGGAGTCAGCTTGAAACACAGTCAAGTTACATGGGCATCTTATTCGGGAAGACCTGGCTGCAGAGGTTTCTTGTCTTCCTTCCTGTCCTCCCCACCTCCCCACTCCCCAATAAAATAATCAGAAGCTGAGCAGGAAGCAGCAGTTACATTCTGCGCGGTGAACCTCGTAGGAAGACAAATTACACTCTCTGTAGAATCCCCACAAGCTCAACTTCCTTTTCTGTATTGATTTTAAGATTAAGGCACTGTGGCTTCACCCTGGTCCATAATCCCATTCCTCTGTGTTTGCGTGTGAGTGACAGGAATTGATTCTGCCTGGCCACCCGTCCCCACACGAAGTAGAATTTAAAATCCTCATCCTGATTCAGAACACAGGCTGTCCTACACCACATGGACAGCAATTAATAGAGGACAGCAAGTTCAGCCTTCCTAACAAAGCCTGCTTAAAGTCTAAAACGCTGCGGGGAATATGGGCTTGGGGGAGCACTCTGATTGTTGGGAGAAAGGGCCTGGCTCTGCTCCCAGTTACACGGTGGTTTCAGCTTCTGGGGGGGTGTGTGGGGTCTTCTTTCTCATGACTCAAGCCGGTCCCCTGACACCCAAGGATGAGGTGACCGTGCGGTTGCTCTGCAGGCCTGGCCACTCAGAATTTGATGGGTGCCCTGCTGCGTGTACTCTGGGTGGGTGCTGGGTGAGGCTCAGGTCCTCTGAGTGCCTCTCAACAGGGGTGGCGTTCTCCATCTTGTCACCCTCCATGCTTCCCTTCCTCCACTCTTTTATAATTTCTCAGGCTCCTCAGGATAATGCTATTAATAAAAGAAACATGGCCAACAGTGTTAAGACACAAAAATCCACCTCTGATGGTCACCCATGAGGACAACAGACACGGACATCTCTGTGCTTGGATCTCTCTGGGGGGGCAGGTGTGGTCTGTGTCCACTGCAGAGCTGCCAGGAAACTAGAACTGTGCTGAGGGCATCTGGAAAGGGCGGGGCGACAACACCTCTGTGTACGCGGCGGGAGGTTTTGGGAGGAAGAAGTACCAGTGGGTGGTGAGGAGAGAGCCTGGGCTCAGCAAAGAGCCCCATGTGACACTGGATGATTACAGACAATTTTCCAGCTATTTGGTTGGTTTACCTTGTCATGGCAGTACTCTGGATAATCAATCACTGCATTCTATTCAGGAAAGATGACACTGTAGTTTGCCAGATGATGGGTATTTTTACAGGGAAAAAAGTTTCCATTTTTCTTTCTTTCTTTTTTTTTTTTAAGTTGGAGTCTCATTCCTTCGCCCAGGCTGGAGTGCAGTGGCACGCACACTCAAGGTCACCCCAGCATTGAACTTCTGGGCTCCAATGATTCTTCTGCCTCAGCCTTCCGAGTAGCTGGAACTATAGATGCATGCTATCATGACTGGCTATTTTTTATTTTTTACTGTAGAGACGAGGTCTTGCCAAGTTGCCCAAGTTGACCTTGAACCTTTGGGCACAGGCAATCCACTCGCCTCGGCCTCCCAAAGTGCTGGGATTACCGAGCCCGGCCTTCAGTTTTCAAGAATTTGTAACAATTTCCAAATCAGTGGTTCTGACAGATAATTGTTGAAAATATCAAATTTCTAACATGGTCAATCCTGTTTTTATTTATTGATGTCTTCAGCAACACGGATGATTTACTGGCTCATTATTAATTTTGAGATATGCCAATGTTGAATATAATGACTTCCTAATAAGCAAAACCCTGATTTTCATTATAATTTCTATTAAATAAATCACAAATGATTGATATTTGTTTACAAACAATTTGATACACTTTTTTTGCAACTTATTACCAGGTAATGAAGTCTGGGTATGACATAAAAAAATAAGAAAAAAAATCTCAGGACAGCTACTATAATACAAAGACACTGCTATGAGAAATAGACACTAAAGTTTATTAAAAGGACACATTCGTCATCTAAAGCAGGAGTGGAAGTATGTGAGCCAGCTGCTGGGTCTGCAATTTTAAAACATTTAGTGAATGAATGAAGATGACAGGACCTGTGAGACCAGCCCAGTCCGTCTGCCAACATAAAACTCCGTGTTATGATACTAACATCCATGTCATAGAAAACTGGCTCCTGGTCATATACTCTGGGAAATGCGGAGTTCTGGTTTATGGAAGTAATTTCTTAACCAGAAATGTCATTGAACTCTGATATGCTAAGGCTATCACGGGTCCAGAAGAGGCCAACCATGAAAGTCATAGATACAGGGAACGTGTTCCACGGCTGGCTCATCACACCAGCTGGAGTAGCGCTTCTGGAACACGGTCGGGGGCTGACTCCCAGTGCTCAGGTTCCACTGATGAGGACACTGAGCAGATGACATGCTCGGGGACACATGAGGAGCACCGGGAGGAGCAGGGTGGGCAGTAGGCCTCTTGAGCCTTGCCCCGGGGGTCCCCTACACACCAGGACACTCTGGGCTCTCTCACCTCTCCAAGCTCCATCCAGCACCCCGAGCATGCCCAGTCCTTGCTCCAATCACACCAGATTGTAGTGACCCCTGTCTGCACTAGGCTGACCCTTGCCTCGGTGTCTTGTGTCTCCTCGCTCATGCCTGTCTTCCCTGAAGAGCCAGTTGAGGGCTACCTGCTCTGATCCACATGCCCGTCTTCTGTTCCACCAGAACACCTTGGCATTTGGGCCCAGGCTCTTCATGGCATCTGGTGATCACTGGTTCCGTTGGTTATCTCTTCCCTTAGGTAATGTGGCATACTGCAGGTGCTTGATAAGTATCTATTAAAAGAATTAATGCACACTGCAAGGCACATAAGAAAGGCAGATTTTGAATATCCTCATAACATGCAGCAGTGGGTAAGGGCCTGACTTGGTGAGGTGGAGCCAGGCCACAACCTCCTTCCTACCACACAATGGCATCTTCATTCCCGTGGCTCCAAGGACAGAATGTCTGTTAGGCTGAAGGTCTTGGCTATTTCTACCAAATACCCCTAATTTCATCCAGCTGTATTATTCTATAATGGAAATCCATTATATAAAAATAAATGTGCCCCTTTTCCCTTTTTAAAGTTTTAAGACATTGAAATAAATTCACAATTCAGAAAAAACAAAAACAAAATAATCGTAGCTTGGGGAAGGGAGTCTCTGCTGATACGCTGCTTTAGCTGCT